TGAAGGAGACATTGTGAATTCTGTTGATCAAAGAATCAAAGTAATGCAGTTTCTCTTTCTGCTAACTGGATCCATTTCTTTTGAGCGTTATCTCTTTCACTAGTCATCTGGGACGTCATTAAAAACGAGGGTATTGTACCATTTCTTGGTCTAGGTCACATCTTATAAGGTCCTTGTCAGCAAATGAAGACCGTGCTTATTCATCAGCAGAACCATCTGCTTATCAACAACCTCACTCAGAACATCCACAGAAATAAGAAACAGGAACTTCATGTCTTCCAATCTTGCTGCACTGCCTAAGCAACCCGTTCAAGCCTTCGTCACTTACAGAAAGCGTCGTTTCACAAAGTATCATTTTTCACCAGCAACCAGTATTCGGCGAAAAGGTTCGACCAAAGAACTATTGATGAAAAATTTTTTTAGGCAAAAATGCAATGATGAAAATTTTTTTCCAACAGATGCGCAGAGCAAAAATCCAATTACTTAGATTTTTGGCAACAATAAAACGGAAGTTGTCAGCAAAAATAGTTTTCCACACTTTCAACGATTCGTAATTTAGCTTGTATCCATCACTTTCAAAAGACATCGCAACAGCCTGAAAAGAAAAACTGTTTTTAGCTCAGCCAAAAAGACAAGGAGAGCCTCTCCAAATATTTTCAAGTGTTCTGCCCGAAGTGTTCAATTGGTAATCCTTTCAGGAGAAACGAACGCCAGGATGATCAGCAGGCAAATGGAAGAGCGATGGTACCTCGGTACTTGAAAAATCGCTAGGTTCTTGGCTGAAAAATCACTCTATGAATTGTAGTTCATCGTAACTATACAGTTGCATACATTGATATAATTCAGAATCAAGTCAAAAGATAAAAGTTAAGACTTCTGTCGCATTCATTCTCTGTGAGAAGCACAAACAATCGGGAATTAGTCCGAGCGATAGCAAATGCTAACAGCAACCACTCATTAGAAAGGATGTCACTGACTTTCATTTCCGCGGGCTGATGGCGGATTGGGCTCTCCGGTGCGATGCCTCTTTAGAGTCAAAACGAACGAACGAATCGTAAAGAGATTGATCGCACCATTCAAGCTTCACAGTTCTGTGATAAATAGCCCTTTTGTTGAAGCAGTTCTCACAAGTGGCGCCTCTTTATAAATCATTACGGGCTAGCATGGAATTAGCCTAGGAGTCGAATCATTCCTTTTCACATTCGGATGTGACGCGCTACCTACTGTCGCTGGATGCAACGATTTTGTTGTTGTTTTAAGTGCTGGTTCAGCACAAACCGTCGTTGGCCTTGTGGGTTCCTCCTGCCCTTGGGGTCAGCGTTATTTTATTAATGGTAATTGATAGGATATCGTTGGTCCGAGATGGGAGGGGTTGGCAATTGGCGAGATTCTCCCTGAGTGGAGAAAGGAATCCGTGACCGGTAGTTTTTCGATATAACATCTCCAATTAAGCTGGGCGGCCAGCTCAGTTTTTCGTTTTCTGGAAATAAGAAAATTTGGCTGCTTTCCGTCGTCTCGTGTAGTCACAGTACTTTCCCTTTTTCTTCTGGTGCTACACCTGTCAAGCAACTTGACCCTGTGCTCACCTAGTGTGTTTTTTAAATTTTATCAATTACTTCAATATATGCGTGCCTTTTTCGCGGTATTTCTGTGGCTGAGGATGAGGTAAGGGGGGACTGGATTGATATAAGACTAACCTTTTCAAAGTCGTCATTGGTCCCATCAAAAAATTTATACCAGAAACCATGCGCAGAGTAAGCCCCAATCCAGGGTTTGCCACAGTTTTTTGGATGATCCAGCTCGTACACCAGCATCGGGATTGCTTTGCCAACATCGACCGGGATTTGGCGCTTGAGAACTTCTTTCAGTGGCTCGAGCTTCATTCTGCGGCTCGCAAATTTTGACTACTTAAGAACAAAGTATTGAGAACCAAAAAGTGCTGAAGCTGTCCTAAATCTGATTATCGAGTGTATGTTGAGGTTTTAGTTTTTTATAAGTAAATTTTTGATTTTTTGCCCCTGCCAACAATCTCAATCAAAGACTGGCCGAAATAATGCAAGTACCACCACTGTCACGTTCCTGGGTTCAATTCTGCCAAAGGAACACGTGTAGAAAAGGATTGGATTTTTGAATTCTTAATCAGTTACTTTATTAAAAAACTCAAAGCATTCGCAAACCAAAGGAAGTAATGAATTTCGCCAAACACCAGCACTGCCAATCTTTCTTGATCGAAAGCAAGTTGTGGGCTAGAATCCGCACAAAGTATTTCTCCGCCCTTCCATAATTTATGCCAATTTGCCTTAAAGGGCCATCATATTCCAGACAACAGCAAGCTCAAAATCCTCTCTGATATAGAATCGGAAAATGAAAAATGCTTTTGATGGAATATGCATACTTAAAATTCCCTCTTCCAGAAACAACCCTTATTTTCCTAAAAAGTGAGATTTGCTTTATGAGAAACATTGCCGTACTTTTGGGATACTTAAAGTAATTTATACTGCAGTTTATGGTATGGTTCTCCAACTATGCAGCTGACAGCTTTTCTAGTTGTTTTGACCAGTGGTGCATTGCCTGATAATTAACCTTTCAATGAACCCGATGTTCGTTTCGTCTCCGGAAAAAATTGACAGCTAAGTGGCTGTTCCAACTGAAGAAGGCTCTAGTCATTTCTGGATCTGTTCCTTCATTTGACTGCTCCATTTGAAGCAGTCAATCATTTGAAGGAAGCAGTTTGTGTTTCATCCCCTAGAACTTTCACAGCCCGATAAAATAACTTGTTTTATTCCTGAATTATTGCTTTAGCCTGGTTAAATTTGATGCGTGCATTCTCTGGCTGGAGATTCTGATGCATATTAATGAGTCGATGGCGAACTTATTCGGCAAGCATTCAGCTGCGGAGAAGAAAATGTTGACAAGCAGGCAAAAGCGGCTCGATGTTGTTGGTGGATATGGTGCCATCGAAACAATCCTTTTTTCTGAAGCAACTTACAATACTATATTTCACTGAGCCAAAAGCAAAATGCTTTTATCTTTCAGAGCAACGGAAATGTAGAAGAAGCCGAATATAGCACTGTACTACAGTCGTTGGCTTTGATTATGGTGATATTGGTGTTGTCGCTGCTAATAATTACAGCGTTGATAGTGATAATGATGGTAACAACAATAATAAAAGTAATAATATCAAAAATAATAATAGTAACGCGGAAAACGAGAAACGAATTCTTTCGACATATTTTTTGAAATGTCAATTGAATTTGCAGAAAAAAAAGCTGTAGATCAATGTCTTATGGGAAGCAATTCGTCACTTTCTC